CCCCAGTGGCCTTCAGGAAGAGCTGTACCCACGCCCACCTCGTCCCTCTTTACATCGGCGATTCCAACGAAGCAAATGAAGCGATTCGGATTTCCTGATATTTCCGATCTTTTTTTCAAGAAAATTATAGGAAATAATTTCAAAATCGAATCGCCAGCACCCCCTACATCTGAAACGGGTTTTGAACCTTTTTTTTTTTTGGATCACCCAAGCCTAGTATATACGGTATATAGATGTCCTTTGACCAGTAGCTGGCCACTAGGGCTGGGTAACAACGGAAAAATTTGCTTCTAAACTCATTTCGTTTTTAGGGGGTCCATTGCGTTTCGTTTTTTAAAAGAATTCCGAATTTTTCTTTAAAAAAATTTCGTTATTTACGAAATTTCGTAAATTTCAAATTGATTCGTTAATGGCGGACGCGATTGCGCAATACACTAAAAAACCCTCCAAATGGGACAGGGGGAACTTCTGAAGCTTCCCTCTCCCTCTGTTGTTGACTGTTGGTGTGATAATTTATTTTTTTATCACTGATAAAACAAACAACAACTATAAAACTTGCACCAGACATACGGAAATAATAACGAAATAATAACGAAACGATTTCGAAACAATTTCGAAACAATTACGAAACAATTACAAAACAATACAAAATAAATTTTAAAAATTCGTTTCGATTTTTAGTTGCTCCTGAATGGTTCAATATCGGATCGTAAGCTACTTTAAATACGAATTATTAACGAATTACGAAATTAACGAACGAAACTGCCCAGCCCTAGTACCCACGCCCACCTCGTCCCTCTTTGCATCGGCGATTCAAACGAAGCAAACGAAGCGATTTGGATTTCATTATATTTCCGATCTTTTTTTCAAGAAAATTATAGGAAATAATTTCAAAATCGAATCGCCAGCATCTGAAACGAGTTTTGAACCTTTTTTTTTTTTTGGATCACCCAAGCCTAGTATATACAGTATATAGATGTCCTTTGACCGGTAGTTGGCCACTTATGGAAATGTATTAAGGAGTCACGGCATTAGGAAGGTTGAGAACCACTATCATAGTTTATTGTCGAAGGCTTTCATGGCTGGAATCACTAGGTTCTTGTGGGTTTTTTCGGGCTATAGGGCCATGTTCTCACCTCACTACCTCTGAGGATGCTTGCCATAGATGCAGGCGAAACGTCAGGAGAAATGCCTCTAGAACATGGCCCTATAGCCCGAAAAAAACCCACAAGAACCTACTATCATAGTTGCTAATCTTAACTCACCTCATAGGGTTCATGGGGGGGGGGGGGGGGTATGGGAAATGCTTTGCACTGAGCTCCTTTAAGAAAAAGTGGGATTAAAATATAAAATCAACCAGGCAACTCCAAACTGTTCAAATAACCGTATTTTATTTGTTTCTTTCGTTACAGAAAAAATGATGCTGGATTGCAGGTGGCTTACAACAATTTTCTGGCATGAAGACAAGCTACAAAGCACAAAAAAGAGAGAGAGAGGAGAAAATCCCCACAGACAAATGAACTTGGAACAAATTTCCGCGGCATTGAAGAGTTCTTTATTTTTCCTCGTTTCCTTTTCTTAAAAAACAAACAGACAAACAAACACAAACGGAACTAAGATTTTCACAGGATCCAGACTTGCTCTTCAGGTGACATATCCAAGCATGTTCTTTTATTACATTTAAATTGGGAGAGAGAGAGAAAAGAAACCAAGAAAGAAAGTGAACAGAACAGAGTTCCAGGCGGAGAACTGGAAGACAGGGGATACTCAGTGTACTCCGATCCTCCTGAAAGCTCTCATCCGAGATATGGATGGAAAACACCTTTCAACCCCGCTTGACTGATTGCACCTTGCGTGTTTGTAAAGGGACACAATTACCCGCAGTATTTAGAGAATGGTTTGCAAATGTACCTTTTAATATCATATTTTATGGATATTCCTGCAATATATTTAATTAGGAAGGAGAGTGGCCTGGACTTGGAGGCACCTTCTCCTTTTAGGCCAAGTTGTTTTTATTTGTGGTCAAGATGGTCTTTTGATTACTTAAGATTTTGAGTTCCTTCATAAAATGTTAACAGCGAGCGGCAATATTGGCACAGGGACACTGTCTCCACTGAAGGCAAAGCCTCAACTGCATATTGAAATTGCAGGGGAATTGCCGAGCCATAGGTTCAAAGCTATTTTGTTCTCAAAGTGGGTGGTAAACCAAACATCTCTGGGCCATTTCAACCTTCTCCAGATGCCTGTTCTCACCTTAAATCTACACATCCAAGGGCAGCAGTCTATTCCCTGATTACTTGTTGGTTACCTCCAACTAGAGTTGACCCACTGATGTAACCATTGAATTGTGAGATGACATTTATGTCACTCCCGTTGATTCAGTGGGTCTACTCTAGTTGGGGAGGTGAACCAAACATCTCTGGGCCATTTCAACCTTCTCCAGATGCCTGTTCTCATCTTAAATCTACACATCCAAGGGCAGCAGTCCATTCCCTTCAGACTTGTTGGTTACCCCCAACTAGAGTTGACCCACTAATGCAACCATTGAATGGTGAGATGACATTTAGGTCACTTCCGTTGATTCAATGGGTCTACTCTAGTTGGGGTGGTGAACCAAACATCTCTGGGCCATTTCAACCTTCTCCAGATGCCTGTTCTCACCTTAAATCTACACATCCAAGGGCAGCAGTCAATTCCCTGATGACTTGTTGGTTACCCCCAACTAGAGTTGACCCACTGATTCAAACATCTCTGGGCCATTTCAACCTTCTCCAGATGCCTGTTCTCACCTTAAATCTACACATCCAAGGGCAGCAGTCCATTCCCTGATGATCAGACTTGTTGGTTACCCCCAACTAGAGTTGACCCACTGATGCAACCATTGAATGGTGAAATGACATTCAATGGGTCTGCTCTAGTTGGGGTTCTCAATAGGATTCTCCCCAGATTTATGCAATATTTGTATTGGTGTAGGTTGGGATGGAGTGAGGAGGGAGGAGGAAAATGTATGTATATCTTGAAATAATATTATGTGAAGATCTCTTTGGACTTTTTCCTGAAGCACACTTTGAATGCAAAACCCTCGATCCTCTAGTCCAGTGGTTCTCATCCTGGGGATTGTGACTAGGCGGGTCACGAGGGGGGTTTCAAAGGGGTCACCAAAGACCACCAAAAACACATATTTCTGATGGTCTTAGGAACCCCTTTGGCAAAGAAGGCTGAAGATCTATCTGCCTGTCCTTCTTTTCCTTTTTGGAAACAGAAGGCAAATCCACCAAAAGCCCTCCTCCTGCTGTCATTGGCTGACCTCTCAGCCAAGGGGAGACTCCAATTGGGGAGGGGAGAGCAGCAACTACAACTCCCAAATGACAAAATAAATTCCCCCAAATCCACCAGAAATCAAATTTGGGCATAGAATCTTAGAGTTGGGAGAGACCTCATGGGCCATCCAGTCCAAACCCCTGTTAAGAAGCAGGAAAATTGCATTCAAAGCATGCCCAACAGATGGCCAACCAGCCTTTGTTTAAAAACTTTCAAAGAAGGTGCCACTACCACATTCCGGGGCAGAGAGTTCCACTACTGAATAGCTCTCACAGTCAGGAAGTTCTTCCTAAAGTTCAGACGGAATCTCCTCTCTTGTAGTTTGAAGCCATTGTTCTGCGTCCTAGTTTCTAGGGCAGCAGAAATCAAGTTCGTTCCCTCCTCACATATTTATAGATGGCTATCATGTCTCCTCTCAGCCTTCTCTTCTTCAGGCTAAACATGCCCAGCTCTTTACGCTCCTCATAGGGCTTGTTCTCCAGACCCTTGATCATTTTAGTCGCCCTCCTCTGGACACATTCCAGCTTGTCAACATCTCTCTTCAATCGTGGTGCCCAGAATTGGACACAATATTCCAGGTGTGGTCTAACCAAGGCAGAATAGAAGGGGAGCATGACTTCCCTGGATCTAGACACTAGACTCCTATTAATGCAGGCCAAAATCCCATTGACTTTTTTTGCCTCTGCATCACATTGTTGGCTCACGTTTAGCTTGTTGCCACAAGGACTCCAAGATCTTTTTCACACATACTGCTCTCGAGCCAGGCATTGTCCCCCATTCTGTATCTTTGCATTTAGTTTTTTCTGCCTAAGTGGAGTATCTTGCATTTGTCCCTGTTGAACTTCATTTTGTTAGTTTTGGCCACATCTCTCTAATCTGTCAAGATCGTTTTGAATCATTCAAAACGATCTTAACAGATTAGAGAGTTGGGCAAAACTAACAAAATGAAGTTCAACAGTGACAAATGCAAGATACTCCACTTAGGCAGAAAAAAAATGAAATGCAAAGATACAGAATAGAGGACACATGGCTCAAGAGCAGTACGTGTGAAAAAGATCTTGGAGTCCTTGTGGCAACAAGTTAACATGAGCCAACAATGTGATGTGGCGGAATATTGGGTATTTGTGCCAAATTTGGTCCAGTGAATGAAAATACATCCTGTATGTCAGATATTTATGATTCATAACAGTAGTAGAATTACAGTTGTAAAGTAGCAATGGAAATAATTTTATGGTTGGGGGTCACCATGAGGAACTGTATTGAGGGTCGTGGCATTAAGAAGGTTGAGTCCCAGTTAGGCTAGGCCCATTGAATCATAGAATCATAGAATCAAAGAGTTGGAAGAGACCTCATGGGCCATCCAGTCCAACCCCCTGCCAAGAAGCAGGAATATTGCATTCAAATCACCCCTGACAGATGGCCATCCAGCCTCTGTTTAAAAGCTTCCAAAGAAGGAGCCTACACCACACTCCGGGGCAGAGAGTTCCACTGCTGAACGGCTCTCACAGTCAGGAAGTTCTTCCTCATGTTCAGATGGAATCTCCTCTCTTGTAGTTTGAAGCCATTGTTCCGCGTCCTAGTCTCCAAGGAAGCAGAAAACAAGCTTGCTCCCTCCTCCCTGTGGCTTCCTCTCACATATTTATACAAATCAAGTCAAAGGAATAACTATTGGAACAGGATTCAGACTCAAATAATGTTAGCTTTAATGTAAAGAAAAGCATACAATCCAAAAGAAAGAATTGGGATGACTAAAATCTAACTAAGCGACATTGTTTCTGCCTTCTGCTCCGTTTTCCCCGCCACCTTAAAGCTTTGTCCCACATCCCAGCTGCTGCTATTTCATTTAACGCTAAGTAATCTGCATCTATAACTTTCTAGATAATAGGAATGGGAAAGGATTCCTTTTCGTGCTGCCCGCTTTTCCCCCAGCAGCTCTCCTGTCTGGCCAATTGCATCTGTGCCTTGATCCTTCCAGGAACCTTTCTGCTACTTGCCCTGCCTGCCAACTCGCTCTTGGATCAGCTTCTCGCTCAGCTCCCACAAGGCTGTTGCCGTCATTTCGTTCTGCGCCTCTTGCGAAGGCAGGCAGCGACAGCAGTTGTTGAAGTACATCCCTCCCAGGCCTTCCAGTTCGGGGGCTGTGGCGCAGTAGACACTGGTCGCGGCTCCTTGTTGCTGGAATTGAACACAGAGAGAGAGACAGAGAGTTATTTAAAACAATGTAGACCATCATCAAGGACAGATTTAACAATTGGCTATGGAAGTTCTAATTGTGTTAAATTAATGCTAATAACATGGAACTTTTTAATTTTTTGGTGGCTCGGGGAGCTTCATCACTTATTTATTTTATTTATTTATTTTATTTCTATACCGCTTTTCTCAGCCCTGGGGTTAGCTGTGAATGTTTCAGCTGATCACCTTGATTAGCATTCAATGGCTTGGAAGTGCCTGGGGGGAATCTTTTGTTGAGAGTGATTTTATGTGCCTGTTTGTTTCCCCTCTGTTGTTTTGCTGTTGTAATTTATGAGTTTTTTAATACTAATTACAAAAATTACAACAGCAAAACAACAGAGGGGAAACAAACAGGCACATCACTCTCAACAAAAGATTCCCCCCAGGCACTTCCAAGCCATTGAATGCAAATCAAGGTGATCAGCTGAAACATTCACAGCTAGCCCCAGCAGACAAAAGTCCTTTGTCTCACCCTGGTCATTCCACAGATATATAAACCCATTTTTCCTACTTCCAACAGACCTCACTACCTCTGAGGATGCTTGCCATAGATGCAGGCGAAACGTCAGGAGAAAAATTGCCTCCAGAACATGGCCATATTGCCCAGAAAAACCTACAACAACCCAGTGATTCCGGCCATGAAAACCTTCGACAATACAAAAATAGTAGTTGTTTGCTTCTGATAGTTTCTTACAAATGGCTGTCTCATCCAGCCAACTACTACTTTATATTGTAATGTGGCGATGAGATGGGATGGCATAAAATATGTTGGGAAGAAGGAAAGAAACACCATGTACAATGGGAGCTCAGAAATATATATATTTTAAAATCCAATCCCCCAGGAAAACTCCAATCCTGATATTTCAGCTCATGATAATCCGAAACTCGAGAAATCTATCCCCAGTTGTCTCCCTCCCTCCCTCCCTCCCTCCCTCCTCCCTTCCTTTTCTTCCTCCCTCCCTCTCTCCCTCCCTTCCTCCCTCCCTCCCTCCCTCCCTCCCTCCCTTCCTTCCTCCCTCCCTCCCTCTCTCCCTCCCTCCCTTCCTTCCTTCCTTCCTTTCCTTCCTGGTTTTTTTCCATGTCAGGAGCAACTTGAGAAACTGCAAGTCGCTTCTGGTGTGAGAGAATTGATGTTGCCATGGGGGAACATCCAAATGTTTGATGTTTTACCATAATTGTGATAGGCTTTTTTCATGTCTCCACATGGGGAGCTGAAGCTGACAGAGGGAGCTCAGCCCCCTCTCCCAATAATAATAGTAATAATAATAATAATAATAATAATAATAATAGAGGGACAAAGGGCTCGCCCAGAATGACTGCTCAGGAGCCAAGCTTGGGAAGCTTTTTTTTTACACAGCCCTTCCTTCCTTCCTTCCTTCCTTCCTTCCTTCCTTCCTTCCTTCCTTCCTTCCTCCTTCCTTCCTTCCTTCCTTCCTCCCGCCCTCCCTCCCTCCCTCCCTCCTCCTCTTCCTTCCTCCTTCTTTTTTCCATGTCAGGAGCAACTTGAGAAACTGCAACGCTTCTGGTGTGAGAGAACTGGCCGTCTACAAAGATGTTGCCCAGGGAACATCCAAATGTTTGATGTTTTACCATAATTGTGATAGGCTTTTTTCATGTCTCCACATGGGGAGCTGAAGCTGACAGAGGGAGCTCAACCCCCTCTCCCAATAATAATAGTAATAATAATAATAATAATAATAATAATAATAATACTTTTTTTATACCCCGCCACCATCTCTCCAAGGGACTTGGAGCAGCTTACATGAGGCCAAGCCCAACAACACATCAAAAACAACAAGCAATAATAAAACAACAAGCAATAAACAAAAATAAGCAATACACAATAACACATAAGAATTTAAAAACCTATGCCTGGGCCAGATATAATAGTTAAAACTTTAAAAATAAATGCTGGACATGGATAGAGGATGTATCTAGTAGGAGGGTTTTAAACCAAAAGTAGAGAACAACTCTCCCCAGATTCAAACCGCTGACCTGTTGGTCAGCAGTCCCGCCGGCTGAAAAGTTTAACCCACTGCACTCTTGGGGGCTCCTTCCTGAGTCAATTACACAAACTAATAGCAAGACCTTCGTGTAAGTCATTTGATCTATGTAATTTTTTTTACAAGCTGCAGAATTCAGCACTTGTTGCAAAATTTAGATTATTTGCAACAGCCAGTGAGGATATCTCTGGGGTTCGTGTAGCTCCTTACTTAGGTGGTCAACCCGGTGGATGTCCCCTGGCTTTTGAATATAAGAATTGGTCCGGTTTGGCTCATTCGAATCAGCTTGTGGAATATTAAAATGCGAAAATTGTATAGTACTAGAGTTTGTCTCACATTTGGTGAAGACTGACCATAGTAGACTATTCAGAATCTACAGTTTGAAAACCATACCAGCTTCAGTTTGTCGTTCCTTCCACGGAACTATGAGGCTGTGTATGTGTTTGATAGTCATGTGTTCCTATGGTCCCAAGTGGTACTTAGTCTTTAGAGTCGACCATACATCTAGATACGATAGGTGTAATATGTTAGCGCAGGTCCAACAGACTCTCTGCGACAGCTCATGTCTGGTGCAACCAGAGCGGCCCTAGGTATTTGCAATTTGGTGTAGCCAAACACATTATTATTGCCCCCCACCCCCCCCCACAATGCCAAGTCATTGAGTTATATTATTTCTGTTTGTCGTGGGATGTCCCGGTGTGCATATTTGGTGTCAATTTCCATCAGGGTGAGTTTTTAGAAAAATGCGCTTTGATGTGCGTAAGTGAACTAGTAATCCAATGATTACACTTGCCGGTCATTGTGTCTGTGGGTATGTCATGATTGGTAGCGTGTGGCGTGGATCCTGGCCCGCTTTGGTCTTGTAGTGCCACAGGGAAATGTATAGCGGCCCTGCTAGAGTCCCCTCCTCGGCTCAATACGGGTGCCTGTTAGCGTGGCATGATGTGTAACCGCCCCGCCTGCACACTCTCCTGATTCGTGCTATGCTCAGCGGCCCGTACTTTTCCTTCAGCCATTGGGACCGAGAGAGAGAGAGAGAGAGGTGGAGATGCCCACCTTTCCTGAAGGTAGGCGCAAAAACAAAGGAGGGAGCGGAGGTGGGAGATGCCTCCACTCTCTCTCTCTCTCTCTTGGTCCCAATGATTGAAGAGAAAGTTGGGAGAAGAGGCAACTTTTGGTGTGCACGCTGGAGTCTTCAGACATGCCTCTGGACCCGAAGTGGGCCAGGAGCGGCAGCTCCGCCCCTTGGCCCACCCGCGGATTGGGGAAGAGGAGAGGAGGCAGATGGAGTGCCGGGGGATCGGGAAAGGGAGCTGGTCATGGGGAAGGGATCGAACGTGGAGAAGGATTGAGCACCAGCTCTGCTTGCGCACCCAGTGGCCGGGTGGAGCAGGAATGAGAGGGGCTAGGCGAGGCTCAAGGGCCCGGTCCCTTTGGGAACAGGATCGCCCGGCAGCGAGGCAAGAAAGCCAAGGCTCCCCCCGGACTGCTAGGGCTGTTGTGAGCTGAGGGAGCGCTCCTCAAGTGGCAGTCGAGGGGCATTTACAGAGGCACCTCTGCGCCCCTGGCAAAAAAAAAGTGTTATGCAATCGCTTACTTTGCGTAATGGATGAGCCGCTTCTGGTGGTAACCCTAAATCACAACTCCCTCTGAAATATTTATAATATCTTACACCAGGTCAGGTGATGGATCACTAAAGTGATACTGGTAATCTATATAAATAAAAATGTAATGTTTGTTTGCGGGATTAACATAACTCAAAAACCACTGGACAAATTGACACCAAATTTCGACACAATACACACATCAGGCCAACAAGTGTCCATCACTCATAAAACACTGAAAAGCACAGCAGAAAAAAAATCTTAAAAAGAAAAAAAATTATATTACAACGCATGCGCAAAACCACATATAAACATGCAAACACACATATATACACACAAAACACATATACACAGATGCCCAGAGCAATGTGTGGCAGGGGATGGCTATTCAGAAATAATTTGGAAAAAATTCACATTTTTCAATAACATTAACATGTGTAGGGCTGATTAAAAGAAGTTCTTTAAATGGGGCATTTTTTGCCACAATCTGTGGAAACAGTATTTAAAATATATGAAATTAATGATTGAAAATGGGGGTTCTCAAACTTTTTCAGCTGCAGAGCTCTTTCTGAAGCAAAAGTTTGTCACAAAGCCCCAAGATTATATATATATATATATATATATATATATAGATAGATAGATAGATAGAGATATAGATATATATAGATATACACACACACACACGCATGCACACGCGCGCGCGCGCACACACACACACACAGTATTCACCCCACAGGGGACTCAGGGCGGATGCTGTGGCCCACACGGAGGTTCTGTGTGGGAGGTTTTGCCCTATTCTATCGTTGGTGGAGTTCAGAATGCTTTGTGATTGTAGGTGAACTATAAATCCCAGCAACTACAACTCCCAAATGTCAAGATTCTATTTTCCCCAAACTCCACCAGTGTTCACATTTGGACATATTGAGTATTCTTGTAGAGTTTGGTCCAGATTAATCATTTTTTGAGTCCACAGTGATCTCTGGATGTAGGTGAACTACAACCCCAAAACCAAAGGACACTGCCCACCAAATCCTTCCAGTATTTTCTGTTGGTCATGGGAGAACTGTTTGCCAAGTTTGGTCCAATTCCATCGTTGATGGGGTTCAGAATGTTCTTTGATTGTAGGTGAACTATAAATCCCAGCAACTACAACTCCCAAATGTCAAGATTCTATTTTCCCCAAACTCCACCAGTGTTCACATTTGGACATATTGAGTATTCTTGTAGAGTTTGGTCCAGATCCATCATTGTTTGAGTCCACAGTGATCTCTGGATGTAGGTGAACTACAACTCCAAAACCAAAGGACACTGCCCACCAAACCCTTCCAGTATTTTC